AGGGAGGGGAGGGGAAAGAGAGAACAGAAACAGTGTGGTGACAAGGCTATAGCTGTGTTTTAGGGACGTCGAGCTGGAGACAGTGTGTAGGGTGGAATGGAGAAGGAGACCCTGGCTCTGGGGAGCCAGTGGAGGCCATTGCAACACATTAGTCGCTTAGTGAAGGACATGAGGTGTAATCTCAAAGGCATAACACGGGAAGAAGAGGAGGAAACAGAGGCTCACCAAGCCTAAGTGACTCAGCAAAGATCACACAACTCATGAATGAGAAAGCTGGGACTCAAATCATTCGACTCCATTAAACAATCTATTACACTGGATCCAACCAAGAAACAGAAATCACAGGGTAATTTAAACAAGGGAAGTTTAATTGGTAGAATTAGTAAGCTGTAAGAGAAGAATAGCTATAAAAATGCAAAGAGAGCTCTGGGGATGACGGAGCATCACAAAGGAAGGACAAACTTGGAAAGGGGTGGGAACCCTAAGACTGGATTCAAACCTTGATGGAGAGGGTATGGTGCATGCTAAATATTTTAACTACAGAAACATTTCGTTAAAAATATCATACAAATACATGTATAAATTAATGTATTGTATTGGTTGTTCATATTGGTAACTTTGGGATTGGAGTAAGAATAAGAAGACCATTTTTCCTTTATGTATTCTGTATTTTCTTATTTATTACAATGAGTCTGTATTACTTTTTAATAAATGGGAAACTGTAGTTTCGGGGTTTTTAGGACTGTTTATTCTACTAATGCAAGTACCTCAACAATCTTCCTTCGCAGCTGTTCCTGAATGTGCAGCCTTGCTCTGCCCAGAAAATTCCAGATGTTCACCTTCCAGTGAAGATGAAACCAAACTAGAATGCAAATGCCTTCCCAATTACCAAGGCGATGGCAAATACTGCGAGCGTGAGTAGAATTTGCTGGTTTATTCATTGAGATATTAAGGTTATTTAACAGGAAAAAAATCCTCACAAACTTTTTAATATTAACACAATGACAGTTTTAATTTCTCTTTATGTAGTTGATTGACGTATATAAAAAGTGCCAAGCAAAATGCTCATAAGTTGGTAGTCCCCAACAAATGGCAATTTCTCCTTTTATTAGCAAAGCAAGTAGATTTTTACACATTTTTATATCACCTTAATCAATGTTGGTATAAAATTAAATGCTTCCTTTTTTTTTTCTTTTCATGCTTATTCACTTTTCAAGAGGCTGTATTGTATATCAGTTAATAACATGGAGGCAGACGGCCTGGGTTCAATCCCAGATCTGCCTTTTACTAACTATATGACCTTTAATCTGCCTGTGCCTCAGTTTTTCTGTCTATCAAATGGGGATAATAATGGTACCAGCCTTAGGGGATTGTTGTAAGAAGTAAATGAGTTAATATATAGCAAATTCTTAGAGCAGGGCCCAGTACATATTATTAATTCTGTAAGCATTAGTTTTTTCTTTCAAGTTATTTTATAGTTAACTTCACACATAGAATGGCATAGTAATATATGAACACGATAGCTGTAGTTACAATCTCTAATGGCCATACATAAATCTGTTTGGTGGAGGGAGAGTGATCAGATGGATTGAGATGAAATAGTTGTTTCTCTTTCAAAACTGTGCAATTACCTTTGTGGCCCTGAAGACCTATGATCCACTGCCGCTCACAGTTCAGTGTTCCTTCTCCATCCCTGAGAATGCTAACTGCCTCTCCCTTTGTCATTGCCTCTCAAGCCATCAATCCATGTTTACAACAAGTCTGCCACCCTCACGCCCATTGCACGTACCTGGGACCAAACCGGCACAGTTGTACATGCCAAGAAGGCTACCGGGGGGATGGCCAAGTGTGCCTGCCAGTGGACCCCTGCCAGACTAACTTTGGAAACTGCCCTGCTAAGTCTACCATGTGCAAGTACGATGGGCCTGGACAGGTGAGCAAATGATGAAGGGAACTGATGTATCTAGAAGGTAGACAACCCACCCAAGATAAAATCATGCCATAGGTATCGCCAGTCTTCTACACCATCCCATTCGCCCTTCCAGTGCTCTATTTGGGCTTCCTCTCTACACAGGCCTCCAGGTGCTCAGTGCCTGACCGCAGTGCCCACGCCCACCCCATCTGTCCTCTGAACTCACACTTTCCCAGCTACCCCGTCAAAACCTAACTGTCTTATGTTCTCTCCTATCACAGTCCTGTGTGGTAACTGGCAAATTCAAAATTAGATTAACAAACGCACAGTTAACCAAGTCTTGGGTGAATATATGATTGACTTTCACCCCAAACCCTCCATTCTCTATAATGTCTTTTTAAGTTAAAAGGGGCTTTCAGAACAAAAAATACCCTGTTCCAAAAGGATGAAAACTGAGACTATGTCGGGCAGCACTGACAGGTCATAGGGAATTGTGAGAACATCCTGGGGTGAGACACTGCCCATCTGAATCACATCATGACCTTGACTGATAAAAATCAGTCTGGTCAGAGACCCATGCTGAGGATTTCAGTTAAAAGAACCCATCTCTAATATTGCCTTCATTCATCAAGCATTTAGTGGATGCCTACCGTGTGCATGACTGCACATCAAGCCTTCAGTGGAAGGAATCTATCCATACAGAAGGATATTGCTGCACCGATAGGAAGAAAGGCTCAGTGCCTGACCCCAAACACAGCTAAGGGTCCCTGCAGTCTAATTAGCACCCTAATGGGAATGTTCCTGAAATTCCCTGCTGAAAATCTACCCATTCTCACCTCCAAGGAGAAAGAGTATTTCATGCAACATTTCTGCTATCAATTTCTGAGGCAGGTGTGCAGACAAATTTAAGAGGCTAAATCCCCAATATCAAAATGAAGGTCTTTATGGGAAAATACATTATGCCATGAATCCCAGGCCCTTGAGAGCAAGATTTAAAATATGCTTTGTCTCATCAAAAATGGGTCCCATGGCAGATTTTCAAGTCTTAGGAACCCTCCATTGCTCACACAGAAGCAGGGCATTGCATTATTCCAGAGCACATTCTCCACCTTGGCGTTACAAGCATTTAGACTAGATAATTCTTTGTTGGAGGAGAGGGCTGTCTTGTGCATTGTGGATGTTTAACAGCATCCTAGCATCCTAACACCACCCTCCTCCACTGTGACAACCAAAATTATCTCCAGATATTGCCTAGTGTCCCCTGGGCTGGGACCCCCAGTTGAAAACCACTATTCTAGAGCAATACTACCTTTCATCTGAACATCAATCTCTGCTCCCCTATAGACAACCTAAAACCAGGATTATGGAGTCAGAGAGGTCAAGGGTTAGGATGCAAGAAAACTGAAAAGCTAAACAAGAGTTATGAGCTTCCCAATGGATGAAATATATGAACATGATGACCTCTCCTGGATACTTTGACAAATTTTCAGTTTAAGCCCACACTTCAGACCTACTCTGAGTTAGTTTTATTGGAGTATAAACACATGAATGAAAGAAGAAAGCCAGCAGAAGTGACTAACTAGCATCCTATGTGTTTTTCTCTCCCTGTCTACTGAAGTCTCACTGCGAGTGTAAGGATCATTACAGCAATTTCGTACCAGGAGTGGGGTGCAGTTTGACCAATATCTGTGAATCAAATAACCCATGTCACAGGAACGCAAACTGTACCACCATAGCACCAGGACAAACCGAGTAAGTCTTTTCCATCCCACTGCCAACTCTTCCAGGAGGTGAAAGTAGTGGCCACTCAATGCTGTAAGTTCCTCGAAGGGGAGGAGTTGCATTTTATCCAGCCCTGTGTCTACCACCACCTGACAAAGTAGGAGCAAGGATCACAGTGTGGGTACTGGACAAATCTTTCTTTAATCGACAAACCACTCAACAATTATTTCCTTCATAATGACCATTAGAACATTCTGGAACATTGATTTGCCTGCTAGCTTGGTGGGTCAGAATGTGGGAAAAGGAAACCACTGTGACTGGGGAAACAAGTGGTTGTTGAGATTACAGGGCTATAACCTCTGATGTATGTGCCTGTTTCCTCACTCATGAAATATTACTTGCTGGTGCAAAACAAGACTCAGGAAAGTAAACAAGCACTCGTGGTGTTTCCTTTGACTCCAGGTTTAAGAAGAAGGGGCTCACTATGAACAAAACTTTCGTGTTTTTGAGTTTTCTTGTGAAAACTCCTGAGGCAGAGGCAGCTCTCTTGATAGGAAAGAAATGGATTTGGAGTTGAGACACATGGGTGGACCTGCCAGATGTATGACCTTGGGAAAGTGGCACCGTCTTGCCAGCCTCAGTTTCTCCACATGTTAAATGAGCACAATGATATCTACTCCATAGGTTGTTATGACAATTCCATAAGAGAGTTTTTCTAGAAACTGCTACACAGATGTATTTTATTTTTATTAGTGACCAAATTGAAGCTAGAACCTAAGTCTTTTGACTCCCAAGCCAAGGTTTTTATCTCTGTGTCAGTTTCCAGTTCTCCTTGTCATCAGCATCTGCAAAGGGACCCATATTGATGTTGTAAGCTCAAACCCACAATCAACATTTAACCATGCAATTATAAAGCAGTTTCTGTGCTTATAGAACCCCCTTCTATATTTTTGAAGTTCATTCCCTTTAGTATTAGGTTTTCAGGGTGTAGATTTGCCCAGATGGGTTTTATGATCATTATGTTCTATTGCGACAAATACATAGATCTAAAAAAAAAATACATAGCTCTGTTCTCCCTGTGGATGGAGTGGAAAGAGCTTGTGTATCAGAACACACAGGTTCAAATCCTAGGTCTGCCACTTACCTTACCCCCTCTGAACTAAGGGGGAGAGTTGTACCTTCCAATGACTATTGTATCACTTTCCAGCATCACCAATCTCCCCCTTTCCCACCTTAAATTAGCATGGCATTGTACTTGCAGAAGAAGTCAACACTTAAGTAGGAAACTGATATTTGATTGGATTAAATAGATTATTGTTTCATGGTTAGATCTATCTTAGTGATTCCTTATAACAAGGTTTCTCACCCTCAGGTCTGCTGGCATTTTTGGCTGGAAAGTTCTTTGTTGTCGCGGTGAGCTGGGTTGTGCACTGGAGATGTTTAGAAGCACCACGGCTTCTAGTGACTAGATACTAGCAGACCCCCATCCCAGTTAAGACAACCCAAGATGTCTCCAGAGACATCTTGAGAGATGGTTGAGAACCACTGCTTTATAAAAAAAACAAAGGCTCCATCAGTAAACAATCTCCCTATCATTTGTCTGGCAGGGAAACTCATATGTATCCTTCTAGTATTAGCTTAAAGATTACTTTCTCCTAGAAGCTGTCTCCTATTTCTCCAGGAAAAATTAGTCATTTCCTCGAACTCCATGCCCTAAAGCATCCTATTCAATCTTCCATCATGGTGCTTACTATGGAGCTTCCGTTACCTGTTTAAGGGCTGTCCTTCTATATTCCAGCACTTCTAAGACACTGTTGTCATAGCTACCACCTCCATCATCATGGTCAGCCTTGTCCTTGTCATCATCATCTGCCAAGCATTGAGCTTTTCCTATGTGTCTGTCACTGTGTTGTTTTTCCTTTATTATCTCTTCCAGCAACAGCCCCAAAGGTTCTATTAAGCCCATGTTATAGATGAGGAAACTGGGATTTAAGGAGGTTAAATGGCCTTATCGTGTTGCTATAGTTATCTGTTTTCAGATTCATCTCAGCATGGGACTCTAAAAGTCAAAGTGACTATTATTATCGTTTTTATAGCTCTCTTACCTAGAAGTTTCCTAGAATTAAGTAGGTACTCGGTAAGTCATCAAACAATTCGGCACTGTCCCAGGTGCTGGGATACGCTGATGAATAAGGGAGACCCGTGTTCTAGGAGAGCAGCTATCTAGCAGAAGGGACAATGTCTCAAGAGGCAACTCTGATGGATCGGGTTGTGAGGGCTGTACCGACACGATGACCCCTGGCAGTGCCCAACCCAGCTGCAGGAAGTCAGGAGGTCGGACAAGGCTTCCGGGAGCAGGTCCCACCTGAGAGCCAAGGCGAGGGTGGGAGAGCACTCCTGGCAGGGCAGTGGGCCTGAGGAAGGCATAACAGCCTAAGGAAAAAAAAGAGTTTGGTGCTGCTGCAATTTCAGTGGGCGGCAGGAAGAAGACAGAGCAGGACCCCGCTGTTTATGCTTTATCATGTAGGTGAAAGGAGTCGGTGAGAGCTGTCAGTGCACAGGGGCCAGACGTCCCTCTTGGAGGGATCACTCAGGAGTTTATGTGAAGGACCCATCTGAAGGACAAAGACCAGGAGGAAGCCACTGCAGCAACGCAGGCAAAGGCTGAGAGGTCTGCGCAACAAACTTGTTGAAACTGTATTTGCAGTGTGGGACCATAGTTAGAAACACAACTGGAATAATGAGTGTCGAGCTAGTCTTTAGAATGCTCTCAAGTCGAGTCACATCTGTGGGATGGGGTGAGTGCAGCACAGTTGTGATACAGTCACAGCACGTCTTCGGCTCCCCACGTTTCTCCTCTCTGAAGTTTTCTTCCTCTACCTCGTTTTGGTTCCTCTCTTATCTCCAGAATCCAGGTGAATGTCACCTTCCTAATCGCCTTGTCAATTTCTGCCAGCTGTCAACTCTTTGCTAGGTAGTCACGGCCTGCTACGTACAGCCAGGGCTCACTGACTCACAAGCTCTAAGTGGTAAATTTTCAGGAATTTTGCAAGTTGGCATCTTGTTGATCAGCTTGAAATTAGCCACAGTGAGAGTATGAACCATGGAAATTGGCAAATGCTACAAATTAGGGCTTTATCTTTCCCCCCTGGAGAGCTGGTTGTTAAACCTTTACCAGCACACCACTACTAGGAATGCTCACTTGTGTTTGTGCCTCTCTTCTGTTTTATTCTGGGCATCTTTTGCTTCATCTGTTAAATGATGGCATCGGACTGTATGATCTCAATGTTCAACAGCTCTAAGCCCCTGAGAATGTGTTTTCGCTCTCTCTGTAGATGCACTTGCCAGAAAGGTTACGTGGGCGATGGCTCAACATGCTATGGGAACATCATGGAGCGACTCAGAGAATTAAACACTGAACCCAGAGGACAATGGCAAGGGAGGCTGACCTCTTTCATCTCACTCCTGGGTATGCAGCTACGAATACAGACGTCCGCATAAAAGACAGCCCTTTTTCAGGCAAGGACAAATGCAAGACACAATTATTTGGAAAGGGAAGGGCTTGTCTATTGGGATCAGCTCTTCTAGGGAAAGGCCACACAGGTGGAAGGGAAAAGGCAGCAGCTGTTTCCAAGCAGACAGTCAGGAGTTAGTACCAAGAGATCTAGCAATGCAAGAATTAGTAGGCAGAGAGCTGAGGACAGGGTCCTGGGGTCACCATGGATTAACAGACCTGCAATAGCAGTAAGACAAGGACAGCTACTGATGTGACAATGGAGACCACCCCCTACCCCTTGACCTTATAGGTCCTTCAGGTACGAACAAAGCTTAGCAGGTAACACTGGGAATAAAAAGGGACTGAGACCCCATGGCAGCATCCATGTTCCTCAGTGGAGATGTCATTTTAACTTTGGGCTACTTTTGTTGTGTGCAACCATCTCAGCACCCTTGGTCTGCTAGCCACTAACCACCTATAATGACACATCCTCCCCAAGTCCCCCAGGCAAGGTGACAGCCTAAAACCCCCTCATATATTTACAAACACCTCTAGAGGCCATTACTCCACACCCCCTTAAAAATCATATATTATAACATCATAGTATTGGACAGGACTTCCAATGAAATACAAATTTGGCCAATCTGCAAAAAATAAAACACAGATTTGGCCAATCAACAGAAGCCTTAAAATATCAGCATTTAGAATTAGAATTTACCAGTCACCAAAAATGATTTTCCAGAAAGAACACAGACAAAGAAGTAAGTGTCAGTGGTGGGTCCATGCTGTGTTCTCTGCATAATCTTAACACACATCCTGCATAAATACCCTGCTCTTTCCAAAGCATCCTATGGGGAGTCAAGCATCACTGGCTTCCTTGGTCTCAGGAACAATCTGCCAGGCTCTCATAGCCTTCCTCTAAGAACTCTCAGAATATCAAATGGGAGCAGATGGTAGTGATGGGGTGTCCTAGGCAGACTGGGCCCTCAAATGTTTCCCTGGACAGAGTTATGTTGACCTTTCACCTTCCCCATCACAAAATCCTGGTACCCACTGCCTCCTGTCCTACCATCCCATTTTCCCCAGGGTGATGGAACTGGGGAACTGGCTACGTACCTTGCGGGGCCCAGTGCAAGATGAAAACGTGGGGTCCTTTGTTCAAAAATTATTAAGCATTTCAAGATGGCAACAGCAGAGCATTGAACCAACCCCGGGGCTCTTCTGAGCTGGCCTTAGATGGAAACAAGGGCTGCGTCTTTGCTTATTGAGATGGTGAAACTTCAGAAAATCAAGCACAGGTCAGGGACTGTGGGGTTGCCCAAGGACTTTGTCCTGCCTAAACAGCTTATCACGGGGGAGCCTTGAAGTCTAGGCTGTGGCTGCAGGGAAACTCTCACAGCCTTATATGCAGAAACTCCTGGGGCCATGGCTTCAGGATACCTTTATTCTTAGAGAAATTCCCAGCTGACATCGGGCCTGCACAGACCCATCAGAACAGAGAAGGGCATGAAAGGACCAGTCATTGCCTGATTTTATTCCTCATGTGCCACTGACCCATTTGGTGTTTTCTTTCTTTGTGTATTTTGACTCCTAAGACAAAGCTTATGCCTGGCCACTAAGTAACCTGGGCCCATTCACGGTGCTGTTGCCCACAGACAAGGGATTGAAAGGATTCAACGTGAGTATCTGAAAGAACCCTACACCAATGGGCTGATGTGAGAAGCTTTAGTAGGCAGTATCTTCTTTTCTTTAAAGTAGGAAACCCCCCATTAAAATTAAACCTACTGATGGTGAGTTTTTGATAAACTTCTTTTAGTGAAATATAACATTCTTACAGAAAGTACCCGAATTGTCAGTGTACAACTCAATGGATTTTCCCAAAGTGAACGTACTTGTGTATCCAGCAAGTCTGTTACCAGCACCCTCGCTGACCCCTTTCCAATCATTACCCGCTAAGGTAACCCCTGAGGGTTCTTAACACACAGTCATGTGATAAATAAGATATGCATAATGTAAAACTGCTCATTTCCCACAAAAAGAATTAAACTAATAGGTAGGTATCTGTTTCCATAAAATCATTAGAAATGGTAACAGTAATAGATTAAACAAGAAGAAAATTTCAGTCTTCAGTGTAAGCAGTTGTTTTGAGATAATGTCATCCAGTGGGAATGAAACCTGTAGTGCCTAGTGGAGGTGTCCTATCATGACAGTATCATGAAATAATTATATTTGGTTTAACATAAATAATGGACATGATGATTTATATAAAATTGGATTACCCTAATCCAAGATATTTTGTGATAATAATTTTTGGGTTTTGGATCAAAACCTCATAAATTCCAGGCTCTCTTACCCTAATATCCCACCATCATTAATCTTTCTGAGATCCATCTACCTGTTGTTAACCTTCAGAGATGTCCTTACAGCTCTTCTCCTGAGGAGAACTAGCAAATATTGAATACTTCTGGGCTAGGCACTGTGTGTGGTCTCTTGTTTAATATATAGATTAAGTTTACACAGAGTTCAAAAGTATCTATCGATTGATTGTCGACTATGTAATAGCAACAAAATACAGATTTGGGCCAATGGATTTCAAATATCTTAACTTTTCTATTCAAAAATGCCATCAGTCCACTCACTTTACCTGCTTTTTTCACAAAACTTCCTATTTCGTTCCCATCCACTTCCTGGGTTCAAGATAGATTTCTTGTTCCTTGTTCCTCCTGGCGCCATTGCCATGCTACGCTTTCCCCACTGTGTCAGTTTCAGCGCTAGAGCAGCCTCCTGTGGTTTGACAGTGTACCATGCATTGCCTACAACTCTCCAGATTTCTACTCCCGCACAGGCCCAGCCCACGTCAGTTGCACCAGTGAAAGTCTTCCGTGTCTGAAAGAGTCCAAACCCAAGTTAGGGTGCCCTGGTGTTGATATCTTTAATGCTAAGTAAGGCAGAGCATGCATTAGAAAACCCATTTTCTCCTTCAAACAACAGTCAAACTGGCTCTATTGTTTCTTAGGTAAATGAGCTTTTGATGGATAACAAAGCTGCTCAATACTTTGTGAAACTCCACATAATCGCAGGGCAGATGAGCACTGAGCGTATGAATCACACAGACACCTTCTATACCTTGACTGGAAAATCTGGGGAAATCTTCAACAGTGATAAGGTAGGTATGTCTCTGGTTTTCACTCCCAGAACAAAGTTGTCTGCCAAGCCAATGCCGGTAGCCCTCTTGTGTTTGGGGTTTGTGAAAGATCACTAAGAGCTTCTTTCCTTATTTCTTGTTTGCTAAACACTTGCTACAGGAAGAAGCAGGGAGCGCCACCAGGATGGGCCAGGGCGGAGGGGTGGTCTGTTATGTAAAGAGGGTTGCAAAGCATTTGATTTTGGTCTGGTCTGACCTAGTTTTCAAGGTAACCATCATTCAACTGCCAGCAGGAAGGAGAAACTTTGCTGTAAACCTGTTTCCTGGAAGCATCAGTACAAAGCCAGATCAGCATTCCTCTTACAAAAGGAAATGAATTATGTTTGTTTTAGATTGCTGGAATTGGTCCATCTTCTGTCTGAACTTAACATTCCATTTCTTTTAATATCATTAGTTCTGCTTGTTTTTTAAATAAAGCCACCACCCCCCTTTCACAAATAACTCTTTTGTGACTTTACTGAGCCTGGGGGGGGGCAGGTGATTAATCAACTGAATGTGCATGTGTATAGGCATATGGCCTCGACTGTCGCATTTCACCAAACATCAGTAATTAATAGATCATTGAGTACTTGTTCTATGCAAAATACTGGGATTAATCCTTATTGGTGTCATA